TTACATAACACCTTTACGTATAAAACCCATTTATATAACACCTTTACATATAAAACCCATTTATATAACACCTTTCACCACTTCAGCCTGTCCCAGCGAACATTACAGTCCATTAAGCATGCTGAAGTCATTCTTGTACAAGATGTGGCATCTGCCTTGCGCACAGCAAGATCCCACACATGGCAGTAAGTTGATAACTTAGTAACTAGCTTGAGGGGATGAATAAGAACTCAGGGCACCAGTGGCGTCAGGACTTTCCACAGCCAGCGGAGGGCTCAAACATGACCTCGCTTTTAAAGATGCCATTGGAAAGACAGGACCCCTGGCAGTGCGGCCCTCCAGCGGGACTGCCCCTGGAAGTATCAGCCAACTGACTGCCTCATGGGCAGGAGCAAGACACAGAGCAGCAAAGTGGGACGACGCTCAGAATGATTTACCTGCAGCCAATCCCTTGACCCACTTCGACCAGGAAAAGCCAGGTAACACAGTCAGTTATCGAAAACAGCCAATGCTGGAGGATCACAGCGGATCAGGCAGCATCTGTGGACAGAGAGCGAGCTACAGTTACAGCTCCTGATGAAAAGCCATGTAGACTCGAAACGTTAGCTCGCTGTCTCTCCGTGGATCCTGTCTGACCCGCAGTGACCTCCAGCACTTCTTTTTGTTTTCAGTGCAGATTCCAGCACCCGCAGTAATTTGCTCCCACAGTCAATTATCAGGTCGCTGCTTATGGGATCTTGCTGTGCATTTCTGGGCACTGTGCTCCCCTGCAACACACTGGCTGCGTCAAAGAGCAGCTCAAAGCCCGTGGGGTGGGTCTGAGAGGCACTGAGGCCATTCCTTCCTAACCCATTCTTTGTTTTTGGCCAGGACACCCTCCGCGATTGCTCCAACGACGACCGTGGTTGTTTCAGTAACCTCCAGCTGATCTCGCCACTGTACTTTGTCAGCTTTGTGCTGACGGCCCAGTTTGTGCTGATCAACGTGGTGGTGGCCGTCCTCATGAAGCATCTCGACGACAGTAACAAGGAGGCCCAGGAGGACGCTGAGTTGGACGCCGAGATTGAGATGGAACTGGCCCAGGGGTTCTGCTGCCAACTGGTGGGTCCATCAGCCCCGGGGGGCAGCGCTGGGTCCGACAATGGCCCCAAGGGTCATAAGAAGAAAGCAGAGAGACCAGACCCAGGGAAACACATCTCACCTGCACAGGTAACCACACGTTAGCCTCTTGAGAGGCTCGACCCCATCCAGGGCCTTGCAGCTGCTTTATGGGAATTCTGTCCACCCTATCCACAAACATCCCACTCCCCCCACCACCGACACTCAGTCGCAGCAGTGTGTACAATCTACAAGATGCACTGCAGAAATTCACCAAAGATCCTCAGACAGCACCTTCCCAAGCCTCGACCACTTCCATCTCGAAGGACAAGGGCAGCAGATACATGGGAACACCACCCCCTCCAAGATCCCCTCCAAGCCGCTCACCATCCTGACTTGTAAATATATCACCATTTCTTCACCATCGCTGGGTCAAGATCCTGGAATTCCCTCCCTAAGGACATTATGGGTCAACCCATAGCACATGGACTGCAGGAGTTCGAGAAGGCAGCTCACCCCCACCTTCTCAAGGGGCAACTAGGGATGGGCAATAACCACATCCCATGAACAAACAGGCAAACCAATTGTTTATTTTTACCTACTTCCATCAAAGCTTTCTAATCTCCCCTCTTGTTTACATTTTACTTCTGTCACATGAATACACCCAATGTTGGCAAAGCTCAAAATTGGACAAAGTCTTTATAAACACCCAATATGTACACAAGGCGAGCAGAACAATCATTGATAGAAAGTTGTTCTGTCTTAATTAAAGGATTATTTCCTGTTTTTCTGTAACACTGCAGGAGAACCTGTGGCTGGACAGTGTCTCACTAATCATACGAGATACTTTTGAGAATGAACTGTTGATGATTGATAACCTCTCTGGATCTATCTTCCACCATTACACCTCTTCACCCACCTGCTGGAACTGTCACCACGACAAGCATGAGGTTACCAGTTTGTCTTTTGTATTTTTATGTTTGTGTCTTTTCAGTGATTGTTTTATGTTCATGGCCCTGTTTCTGGTTTCCCCTGACAGGTGGAAACCTCCTGCCCTCACCAATCCCACTGAACTCGTACATAACCTCAAAAATCTTCGCTTCTGTTGCCCCTTAGGCTTAACACGTTAAAGGCCAATCCTCCCTGAAAGGAGATCTCACACTCAGCCCGGAAGAGGTTCTGAAGTATGATCGTCGCTTCACTAAAGTTTTACCCATGTGCTATCAAATGCATTAAGAATCACCAGAAAAGCTCAGCAGGTCCAGCAGCATCATTGGAGAGAAATCAGAGTTAAGGTTTTGGGCCAGGTGACCCATCCTCAGAACCGTTCAGAGGAAGGATCACTCCACCTGAAACGTTAACTCTGATTTCTCTCCAATGATGCTGCTGGACCTGCTGAGCTTTTCCACCAATTTCTGTTTTTGTTTCTGATTTACAGCATCTGCAGTTCTTTCAGTTTTTACATTAGGGACCATGTCCTTTATTCTGAATCTTCTACAACTTCCATCATCAAATGCCGCTTGTACAAAGAGGAAGGTTAAAGACAGTAATTGTTATTATAGACTAATGATTCCCTCATTCATGTGACATATTCTGCTAGCTGGGGGCAGGTTAGCTGAGTTGGTTGAACAGCTGGTGGGAGATGCCAACAGCGTGGGCTCAATTCTTGCCCCTAGCTGAGGTTACCATGAAGGACTCTCCTTCGCAACCTCTCCCCTTGCCTAAGGCATGGAGACCCTCAGGTTAAACCCCCACCAGTCATCTCTAATGAGACAGCAAGACCATGAGAACTTTACATTCTGATAAACAGTAACATTTTTATCAAAACTATCAAGCATTCCTTTGTAACTAAATTCATTACATAGAGTAGTACAGTCTAAAGGGTAACCATTTATATTTAAAAGTGCTGTCCCAACTTGCCCATCCTCACATACTCCTGCAAATTTTCCCCCCTTTAAGCGTTTATCCTGTTCCTTTCTGAAAGTCACTGTTCAACCTGCTTCCCATTCCAGATCATAAAAACTCACTGCATTACAAAAGGAATTCGTCGTGTTACCTCTGCTCCTTTTCCTTTAAAAGATTGCAGTTCCGAATGAAGACTTTCCATCCAGTTGGTCTGGATAGGGTCGGAAGCTACGAAGCAGTTAGTAACCACTCAGGACTCATTGTGTCTTCCCAGGTTCACCTCGCTGAGACAGAAGCATTCTCCCTGACCTCCGACCTCCTCTCGGACAAATCATCATCAGTGGTTCTGGCTGATGACCTGAGCTCAGATGACAGTGTACCCCACCTGCCCACCAGGGGAAGTGATGAAAAGGTATGTGAAAGGCGAGAGAAAGTTATCCTCTTTCCAGTCAGAGTGCCAATCTGCTGCCAACGTCCTGGCATGGCTTTATGGTTGGGGCATGGATCTATCAGGAGTTGAGCTTAAATCATTTAGCATCAGTGATACCTTTCCTTACCTTGCATTTATATAGCGACCTATCACAGAAATGTTCCACAGTGGTTTGTGCTCAGTTCATTGCTTTGAAATGTTATGCGCGCAGCAAGATCCTGCAATCTGTAATTGGGAACCAGGTGACCAGTTTCTGATGGTCTTGCTTGAAGAATCTCTGATCTCCTGGTGCACTGTCAGTGGTTTGGCTTCCTCCAACATCCTGGGTTCTGAGCAGAAAAAAAAACAAGTGACACGTTTCTGCCAGGACCAGGAATGGACCTACATTCGGTTCCAGTCTAGTAAAATGAAATTCTCTCTGTTTTCAAATCCCTCCATACCATTGGCCCTCCCTATGTCTATCACCTCCTCCATTCCCACAACACCAACTCCAGCCTCTTGCACATCCCAGATTTCCATTGCTCCACCAATGGTGGCTGCACCTTCAGGTGTCTGGGCTTTAAGATCTAGGCCCCACACACACCCCCTCCTGCATCACCCCCACCCCTCCAAACCTCTCCATCCAGAACTGTATCTTCGACATGTTCTTCAAAGTGAACCTCTTTGGCAGAGCTTTTGATCAGCTGGCATAATAGCTCTTGTATGCCTCGCCTCCACCACCTTAAGTCCAGGGATGTAGGCCTGGTCTCTCTCTTGTAGCTTCTCTGCAAAGTTTTCGCCCCAGGTCTGGTTCCGTTCCTGGACACAGACAGCTTGTACCGGACCGTGGCTTATCTCTTGCATCCAGAATGTCTCAGGAGAGATTCCTCCTCCACTTCCAGCAGCAACGGTATTGAGGCTACATCCACTTCAGACCCTGAGACGGAGCGGGAGCACCTGCAGGCCTTCTGGCTGTTCTGAAGGGCCAGGTATGTTTTGCTCCTGCCCCGTTTGCGAGGTAACTGCTCAGGTGATCCATGTATTAGTTCTGGACTGTATCACCTACCCAAAGTCACAGGACCCGATCTCGCATCAACCTCACCTCGCACCATTCAGCGCTATTTCCATGGTTCCGGCACCAAACTTCATCCCCTGAACTAAAAACTGTCTCTCTTGCTTAGAGCAAGCATTTGGCCGGCACCGGCATTCCTGCTGCTGCTTCATCCTCTCCCCAGGTCTGGAAATATCAGTTTCAACCTGGTGTGCAGTCTTCTTCACATCAACTCTGCTGGAGCTATCCCTCTTGTTGCGTATGGGGTGGTCCTATCATTGAACAGGAACCAGGACAGTTTGGTATCAACTGATGCTGTAGGCTGCTTCTTTGAGACTGCCTTCAACATTTGGACCAGTCTTTCCACTAGACCACTGGACAATGGGTAGTATGGAGCTGTCCTTATGTGCCAAATGCCATTTGACTTTAGGAAATATTCAAATTCCCTGCTGGTCAATGACGTCCCATTGTCTGTGGCCAATACTTTGGGAGTCCATGTAGCGCGCATGATGCTCGCAGCTTCTAAATCATTATCCGGCTTTTCCGAACAAACTTTATGCATGTCCAACCACTTTGAATGGACGTCCACAATGACCGGAAACATTGAGCCCATGAACAGGACCGGCATAGTCAACATGCAACCAAGTGCAGGGTTTACCCGGCCAATCCCATCAATGTTGGGGTGCTGTTGGTGGCAAGTTTTGTCCTTGTTGGCACTCTGGGCACTGTCCCATCAATACAGCTATATCGGCATCCAACTCTGGCCACCAGACATTGCTTCTTGCTACTAGCTTTATCCTAGAAACCCCTGGATGAATCTGGTGGAACTCAGCCAGTATCTGGCAGTGACCTTTACTCAGGACAATCATGCTTGCTCCCCACACTAATGTGCCATCCTCTACAGTGATCTGGTCTTGCAGGGTCCAGAAAGGTTTCAGTCCTGGTTGCGATGGCCCCTCTGTCTCTCCCCCCGTTACCACCAGCTGTTTTAGTTTCGCTGGGACGGGATCTTTTTGTGTCCACAATCAGATATTGTCAGCGGTGACTAGAATGGTTTCCAGGAAGTTTAAAACCAGAATGGACTTTTCCAGGGGAGGCACTGCTGATGGAGTATCTGCCCGTGGGAGACAGCTTAACGCATCCGCATTAGCCACTTGGCTTCCTGAATGGTGTTCTAACTTGTATACACTGAGAATAAGGGCCCAACACTGAATTCTACTGGAAACTATGGGCTGCACTGCCTTGTCTTCCTTCAGTAGCCCTAGCAGGGCTTTGTGATCTGTTACTATGACAAATTCCCAGCCATAAAGGTACTGGTGGAACTTCCTCACACCAAAGTTGATCGCCAAACCTTCCTTCTCTAGCTGGGCATATTGGCGTTTAGCACCAGCCAGTGTCTGGGAAGCATACACTATTGGGCGTTCCTCTCCATTGGGCCACCGGTGAGCCAACACTACCCTGATCCTGTACGGGGAGGCATCGCATGTCAGCACCACATGTCACTTCGGATTGTAGTGGGCCGACACCTTAGACAATGATAGCTGCGTTTTCACTTCCCTGAAGACTACTTCTTCGCCACACAACCATTTCCAAGGCTGAGCGTTTATCAACAGCAGGTGTAAGGGTGCCAAGACGGAGGCCAGGTTACATAGGAACTTTCCATAATTATTTACTAACCCAAGGAAAGACCTATGCTCTGGTATAAACGTGGGAGCTGGGGCTCCGTTGATCACACTCACCTTATCCTCCAATGGGTGTAACCAGGTTTTGTTGACTGTGTAACCCAAGTAGGTCACTTGGAGCACTTGGAAAACACATTTTTCCCTTCTAAGGTGTGCACCTGCCTGGGAGAAATGTTTAAGGACCACGTCCGCGTTCTCCAAGTGCTGTATGTTGGTCTTCCTGTTATTAGTATGTAATCCAGACAAATGGCAGCCTAGGGTAGCCCTTGCTAAATGTTCTCCATGGTCCGCTGGAAAAGGGCACAGGCTGATAATACCCCAAACGGCAGCCTTGTATATTGATATAAACCCTTATGGGTATTAATTGTAGCTACTGCTGGGATTTCTCATCCAGTCACAATTGCAGGTAGGCATGGTTCATGTCCAGCTTTGTAAAGGACAAACCATCACCCCCCTGCCAACTTTGTGTACAAGTCCTCTATGTGAGGGATCGGGTATTTATCCAGCTCTGTTATCGTGTGCTTAAAATCCCCACAAAGGCAAACCAAGCCTTCAGGCCTCACAATCGGTACAACCAGTGCTGCATATCCTTCAAACTGCCCTGGTTGGATTGTTCCTTCGCTTTCCAGCCTCCTGATTTCTGCCTCTACCCCCAAGGCAAGTGGCACTGGGTGGGCCGTGCACAATCTCGGAATTGCTTCCTGGTCAACGTGTAATGTGGCTTTGCCCCCTTTGTTGGTCCCAAGCCCTTCCTGAAATATTCCTGGGTATTTCACTAGGACTTCACTGAGGCAGCCATTTTCTAATCGAAAAATGTTGAGCCAATCAAAGTGAATCTTTCTCAACCAATTCCACCCCCGAGTAGGCTAGGGCCCGAGCCTTTCACGACCGTCAGTGGTAACTGCACCAACTGCTTCTCATAGGAGACCAAAATCGAACTCATACCCTCAATCTGTAACGGTTCCCCAGTGTACGTTCTCAGTCTGGCTGAGGTCTTGTGCAAACTTAAGGGTTGGAGTCCTGAGTGAATCTTGTTAAAGACAGATTCTGCAACCACAGATACAGCTGCATTGTTATCGCCCTCCATGGGAACTGGGTGACCATTTAACCAAACATTAATTTTAATTAGTCCTGATTTGGATGTCACTAAGCAATTTAATTGTTCCAACCCACATGTAGGGGGACTTTCCAGGGTGTGCACTCTCCTGGGTCCCAGCCTAAGCGTTTTCTTGTGCAAGCCAGGCCTCAGAGGACTCCTTTACCATCTGAAGTCTGCATACCAGCAGCAACTACAACAGTGCACCAGCCCAGATCCTGAAGAACTGTTTAGCCACTTGGCTGAGGCTCGACTTTGTTGTGGCGTTCTGCTGTGGGCTGGCCTGGAGTCCCTCTGCTCAGGGCATGCCCTGCATGAGCCTCTGCAATTGCCTCCACTCAAGTGATGTTCCCAGCTCAGTTGGACAGGTGAGGGAGTCTACTTCCATTGGGATGCCCTGTAGTTCCCATGCTCCACTGGCCGCAGTTCCTGTCTGAAGTCCAGTTGGGCTTCAGCTAGTAGGCGCTTCTGCATAGTTACATCATTACTCCCACATACCAAACTGTCTCTCAGCATTATTCAGGGTTAACCCAAAATCACTTGCCTCTTCCAGCCGTCGTAACCTTGTCAAAAATCGTGATACGATTCCCCCGGTTCTCTAACAGCCGAACAAAGCCGACAGCATCTCAGGATCAGAGATGATTTGGGGTCGTAACATTAACCAACTCTGTCAACTCTTGGAAGGTTTTGGTGTCTGGTGCCTCTTGGAAAGTTAAGTTCCCTATAACAGGAAATGCTGCGGGACCACACGCAGTCAGAAAGACTACTCATTGCTTTTCATCTGCCCCAATGTCATCTGACTGGGAAAAATATCACATTCATTCCACATACTGGGCCCAACCTTCGACAGCAAGATAAAATGAGTCAAGCTTCCCAAATAGAGGCATGATGCCAGAAATGCTTATCCCAACTCCAAAATGACAGTTGCAAGCGAATTTCTTCAGTTATGTCCTGTTTTCTCCCATTACCACTGAAATAACTGCACAGGGGCCAGGTCCCATCACCAGGTCATCCTTTGTTCACTTGTGCACAGTACACTGGCTGTGTCCAGCCAGCTCAAAGTCAGTGCCCTGAGCTGAGGAGATTCTAAATCCCCTGTTTATATTGGTCAGCCAATTATATTGATTAGCCCTGGTTAACAATCCCAATCCAGGACCTTGGGGTCAACAAGGTCCACCTAGTTCTAATCACTACAGTGACTTTACTTTTAATTTATATAAATGGCAGCTTGCTAAAGGTGAGAACGATGGCTCAGAGCTTGAGTATGTTGCAAGGAAATAAGAGCGTACGTGCTTTCTGTTCACAGGAAGGAACAAATAATCCCAGTGTTCCTGAGAATGGCAGCACAAGCATCGTAACATTGAAGGAGACAGCGATATGCAGAACAAACTCACTGCCAAACAACAGCTACATTTCACATGTCGAGAATTCAGATTCAGGCCAAACAGTTCCAGAAACACAGCCAGAGCCCACGGAGCAGAAGGGTGGTGAGCACTGCACCAAATGTTGCTTTTATTTATTTATTTGCTGATTATAACAACCCACTCTGTGTTTTCTCTGCCTGCACGTCATTCAGAATGACGATTTGGTCTTAAAGGGACCACCCTCTACCTGGCAGTGAGTCCATCAGTTTCCTGAACCAAGTTTGAGACAACATGAGGAGTTAGGGAAAGGTGGTTTCCTTTTGAATCAGACCGAGGCTGTGTGCAGATGATACACCTCAGCCCCAGTTTGCTCATCGTCCATGTGTACTTTCCCGAGGTCTGCCCAGGAGCAGGGACCATCTCTGATTTGTTCCCTTTCCTGACAAGGGTACCAAAATGAACTGTTCCCTGTTGGAAAGGAGAGCTCTCAAGATGCACTGTGCAAGGAAACATTGTCAACACATATGAAGGCTGAGTCCCACACAAATTAAATCCCAACTCCAGCCTTCGCACCTTCCAGCAAGTTAGTAACTTGGAGTAATGACTGTGATTAATTTGTTCCATCCTTTGTCAAAGGATTCTGAGGTTAACTGCAATGCTCACATCTCCAAGTGTAACAGTGCTCAAACATTTTCAGTCTGTGTACCACATTCCCACGTTTATCAGTGTATTTACACAGCAATCACTGAAGGACTTTGTCTTTTATTAATGAATGCATTTTAATTTAAAACACTAGATGAGTAGGCACCTCTAGCATGGCTTACACTATTGACCTTTTATCCATTCACATCAAATTGTGGAGAGGGCTGAGCGCTGCCCATGAACAATAATGTTTTTTTCTTGAATGGACTGGTTTTGCAATCACAGAGACAAGTTCCATCCTATGCTGCTGACCTTCATTACATTGGACCAAGACTTGGTTAGAGATTTTAATGTACAAAATCCATGGATAAATGTTAAATTCATATTCTCATAAAGAAACGCATCTACTTTTGCAGTAAAATTTAGCCGAGCCATCAATTTCACACCAGCTTGATGTGTGAAACAGGATCCTATCAGAAGTGGGGCATGGATGTTTATGAACTGGCTCTGAAAGAGGATGTGGCTTACAGGGGCACCCAGTTCCTATAAGCTATGGTAGTGGTGTGTTCCAGTTCCTTCAGGAAGTCCAGGTTACAGTGACAACAGACACCGTTATCTGCATCAAAAACAGTAGTTGCTGGAAAAGCTGAGTTCTGAGGAAGGGTTTCAGAGATAGTAGGAACTGCAGATGCTGGAGAATCTGAGATAACAAGGTGTAAAGCTGGATGAACACAGCAGGCCAAGCAGCATCAGAGGAGACCCTGCTCCTATGATGCTGCTTGGCCTGCTGTGTTCATCCAGCTCTACACCTTGTTATTTCTGAGGAAGGGTCACTGGACCCGAAACATTAACTCTGATTTCTCTCCACAGAAGCTGCCAACCTGCTGAGCTTTACCAGCAACTTCTGTTTTTGTTTCTGATTTACAGCATCCGCAGTTCTTTCGGTTTTTACCTTTATCTGTGTGTTGTAGACTGGAGTTGCCAGGTCATTTGTCTCATTGCTGTTTGTGGGCATTTTGCTTTTGCAAATTGATGGCCGTATTTCCTACCTTATGACAGTGACCATTCTTCATCAAAATGCTCTGGAATGTCCTGAACTACTGAAAGGTTGTACAGAAAGATAAGGTCTCATGTTAGGAATGATAGAGAAAGATTTCAAGAAGCACAAGCTATTGGAATACTGTATTGATAATGTAAGGGACAAACAACGTTTGCCTATTGCTGGAAAAAAATCAAACTTTTTCATCTTGCACTCATCAGGTCAGATGTAGGAATACCAAATCTCAAAGGGAACAACAATTTATACTGCGTGAGAAAAGGCTGTTCATTGGTTGGTCATTTGGCTCTGATTGATCATTGTGTTGCCATGGGGAATGCATCATGGAATTATTGTCCTCCAGGTCTTTGTTTAATTCAAAAGACTGAATGCCTGGACATGTTCTTTTGGTTTGTGAAGGATAGAGGATCCTGCATCGGAATATATGTTGTTTCTAGACGTTAAGCCACAGAGAAGATTGTGATAGAGAGGAAGAGACCCCTTGACGTTCAAATTGCCCTGCTATGTTTCTTAATAATTCCCTCTTTGTCACCTGTCCTACCATCTCCTCATGCGGTTCAGTGTTAACCTTTTCTCGATGTCTACTCCGATGAAGTAATTTGAGGTGTTTTACAATATTTGAGGTGCTCTGTAAATGCCAGTTGTTGTTGTTATTTCAGTTGTAACTGAAACTCTCTTGTTGCTTCCCTCAGTGGCTCCTCTCCAGACTTCTTCGTCCTCCTCTTGTCTTCAGTTTTCAACCGAGCTCTTCCATCCTGCAAAGCTTTCCTCCACAGAGCAGGCTCACAGCACTCAGTATCCCAAGGTCTCTTCTTCCTCTTCCTGGGCCTTGCTACAGTCATCCAACATGGCCTGGTCCCTCCAGCGACAGGTAAGTCATAGATCCATACAGCACAGAAACAGACCCTTCGGTCCAACCAGTCCATGCCAAACATAATCCCAAACCAAAGTAGTCCCTCCTGGTTGCTCCTGGCCCATATCCCTCCAAATATTTCCTATTCATGCACTTACCCACACATCTTTCAAATATTCTAACTGTACCCGCATCCACCACTTCCTCTGGAAGTTAATTCCACACACTAACCATCCTCTGGTTTGTCCCTCGTATCTTTTTAAGTCTCTTTCCTCTCACCTTAAAAATGTGTCCCTAGTCTTGAAATCCCCCATCCTCTGGAAAAGACAACGCCCATTAACTCTATCTATACCCCTTATGAATTTATAAACCTCTATAAGGTCACCTCCCAAACTCCTATGCTCCAGTGGAAAAAGTCCCAGCCTATCCAGCCTTTCTGTATAAATCAAACCTTCCATTGCCAGCAACTTCCTGGTAAATCTCTTCTGAACCCTCTCTGGCTTAATAATATCCTTCCCATAACAGGGGGACCAGAATTGGTTGCAGTACTCAAGCAGAGGCCTCACCAATGTCCTGTACAACCTTAACATGACTTCCCAACTCCTATACTCAATGATCTGAGCAATGAAAGCAAGCGGGCTAAATGCCTTCTTAACCTCCCTGTCTACCTGTGATGCAAACTTCAAAGAATTATGTACCTGAACCCCTAGGTCTGTCTGTTCTACAACACCACCTAGGGCCCCACATTAACTGTCTAAGCCCTGCCCTGTTTGTTTTACCATAATGCAATACCTCACATTTATCCAGTCACCAAAACATAGGTCATTTTGACAGCTGGGACTGGGGTAGGTTAACAGAGGGGTGATTGAGCACAGGGCAATGGCCCAGGTGAACAAACATATGGAACTATTGGAACTCTGGAAGAATGTAATACAAGAATTCATGCTAAAGGGAGTGTTTGGTCAAAATTGATCCCCAGAATGTTTAATATGGTCTTTATCCCTGTCAAGAACAGTAACTTTTTAAATTTGTTTTAAATCCAAAAACCTAATTTTTTACTAAAAGGATGAACGCACAAGGTTCACAGTTTGAATCAAAATAATTTTACGAGATAACCAAAGCAAAGAACATGATTACTAGTAACTAGTAACCTTAACTCAAAGATGTTAAAAGTACACCAAACACTTATCTATTCTCTATTCTAAACTTCTTAACTGAAACTTCTTTCTTACCTATTTAATTTTCAGTAACCCCAGTCAAATCCTTACCAGAAACTGGCAGATTAGTCATTGGGTTTGAGTAGATTTGCATCCAAACTGAGATCTTTTTGGACCTTCCACTTGTATCCAGCAAGATTATACTTTCAGTTCTGCTCCAGTCATCCCACATTCAACATCAATATCATTGGCTTCTTCATTGCAGCCAACTTGGATAAGAACTTTCCTGGACCCAGTATTCTTTAAGTTTGGAGACTTGCATCTAAACCTCCCTCTTTCTCTCTTCTCAGCTTGTCTATCTCTAGCGGTTTAACTCACTGTTGGGAATTCTTCAGTTAACAAGAGTTGTAAACCCTTTTAGACAGCACACACAATTCCAAATGAACTACATGAAAGACGTGTTTCCTACAGTATGTTCACTCTAAACTAAAACAAAACCGTCCCTGAGACTAGAGACACACCCACAATCAATCTCCACCCCTATCATTGATATCTTGTTGACCTCTGCCATTCTATGGTTTATCTGCGAGGCAACCTTGGTCACCTGATCATTTGCTAGAAGCCAACAAATCATCTCTGAGAGAAAGTTGGTTATTAAATGACCATCATTCCAATATCGAATGCAGAGTTTTTTTTCCCCCCAAAACATATGGGCCTGCCTAAATAGAAGAAAGTATATCCTTTAGCCACACATCTGAAAACTGTAAAGACCTAAAAGCTGAAGGTCTTTTTGAAAGCAGACCTAAATGAGCCCAAACAGACCTGTAGACTGAGGAAGGGTCACTGGATCCAAGGTGTTAACACTGATTTCTCTCCACAGATGCTGCCAGGCCTGCTGAGCTTTTCCAACAACTTCTGTTTTTGTTTAAGACCCGTAAACTTGCTGAGTTCAGTCCATTGGAAAAGAACTTGACTTTTAGGTCTATTTTGGTCTATTCAAATCAAACAAAACATTTTTTCCCAGAATTCGTGAATGGAACTAAGTGGTGATTGTAGCAACAGACAGAGGCAAAGAATAAGTGCTGTGTTAATGAAATGCAAAATACTTTACAGATACCATAAGGTTTTTGAGGAAAGTAATGTGAACTCTATTCCTAGGCCAAAACGGGTTCAAGAGTTATTGGAATAGAACTGTGTGGAAGCAGGCCATTCCGCCCAACAAGTCCACACCGACCCTTCAAAGAGCATCCCACCCAAACTGACCCCCACACCTTAACCCTGTAACCTTGCATTTCCCAAACCCACCTCACCTGCACATCCCTGGACACTGCGGGCAATTTAGTATGGCCAATCCATCCTAACCCGCACATTTTAGGAGCTAAATGAATATTTTGCTTTTGGTTTTGAGGTGTTTCATAAAAGATCTTCGAGGTTCAGGTAAGTGTATCCAAAAACCGATAATTTCCTTATCCAACAGTGGTTCCGGGGTTTTCGGATAAGGGATTCCCACCTGTATTTATTAAAATATTATCTGAGAATTTCCACAAAGGGCGTGTTCACTTTATGAAACTCATGGCTCTGTGCAGAGAGCAGCACTTCAATATTTGTATAATAGCATCTTTGGGAAGTCAGTTATCATCTTGTGTGAATGACTGAGTCTCTGCCTGCACACACTGCTTATTGTTGATCACCGTCCAAGAGAAATTGGACTCTCCAAAGGCTTTCGTTGTGTGAAGTGCGAGATGGAGACAGTGTCGTCTTCACAAGAGTGTACTGGGGGCTCTTACAGTTGGTTGTATTTCTCCTCAGGTCGCCATAAGCGATACCTCACTGAGTGACGGCTCGGTGGATAGCCTTCAAACAACACTGGAGAACAGCCTGAGATTGGCGGTGTCACCTCAGTGCACGCTGGCTCTCCCCATGGTCTGTACCGCTCTGTCAGGCCAAAGAAACACTCCTTCCTTCACCCCCCCTCTTCGGATAAACACTCTCCAACGACGGAGGGGCCTCGGGCTTCAGATGATGAGGGGACGCCAAAGGAGCCAAAGCAGCGGGGGCAGCACCAGCCCAGGATGCACATATCAGGACTCCATGGACCCCTCGGATGAAGAAGGAATCAGCCACTCCCTGAGGGCCAACAGCGATCAGTCTGAGACACTGAGCAGCCTCTCTCTAACCTCCCTCTTCTCTCCGTCACGCTCTCCGCCCACTCCAATCAAAAAATGTAACAGCACAGGCACTTTGGACGCTGTCTCGAAAGGCCGGGACACCAAACAATTTTATACCGTTGACCAACAAGGGTTCTTAACAGCCCCCTCTTGGGTATCCGACTTCTGCAGGAATAACCATCCTGCTTCTGGCCTGGAAGATCAAGGAGCTCACCAGGAGACAGACACTGAGGACGTTAAAATAGCGCACGTGCGACCATCCTCCCAGATCCAAACTGGGCCTGAGTACAACGCCACAATGCAAAGGAAGAAAAGATGACTTTGCAGCATCCATTTTTTTTTAAATAATAATAAAAAAAAAGAGAAAGACGTACTGGCTGAAACACTTAGTTTACCTCATCATGTGAGAGTTATGCAGTCCAGCTATCTCGTGGCGTATGCGTGTACCGGATGAAAGGTCACAATTAATTCAACTCTTGGTGTGTGGAGTCACTCTCGAAACCTAGGCAGCAGAAATGCTATCTTTTTTTTTGTTTTGTTCTCCTCCCAACTTCCAAAATCAATGAAGAATGTAACATTAGTTGATAATAACAGCCACTAAGATCCGAACAAGGGTGGGTGAAATTGATTTCGGAGAAGGTTCTAGAATCCCCTCAGTGCATTAAATTGAGGGTGGGAGGAATAGCTCCAGTTAGGCTTATCAGTGTCATGGTGACACAGTAGGCCCTAACTCCACAATGCCAGTAAGCTAAATAAATGATGATGTACATTTTCAGGTTGCTGTGAGGAAAGAGACGGGGGAGTTAAGACTTCAGAATAAGCAAAGATAGATCACACTGACACCATTTGGGATTCAATAACGGAAGTCTATTTATAAAAAAAAAACCATTCAAGCTTGTTGGAAAGAGTTCTGTTGTTGGAAATTTTGGAGAGATTGCTTCAAAGAAGTGTTCATACAAATATTATTTTTTTAAACATTTGTTTATTTCCATTTTATTTAAATGCATGCTTTAAATATTTGGTTTGTGCCAAATCAGACTTATTCTTCTAGATGTACCAAATGTAATATTTATACAAAAATAATATATTAAAATATGTCAAGCCTGTAATTTTTGTAAACTTTTGCGCCAGTTCCAAGCGAATCCTGAGCCCATGTTTCACATTGAGGGCTCATTATCAAAAGGAGGTAGGTGGGTCTCATTGAATATCAAACAATCTGACAATGTGAGTCTTTCCTTTCTTCTCTGGGTTCAAGCACAGCTTGTGTCTTGATGCAGTCAGTTTGACCATTTTGTAACTCGATGAGTTCCATTTTGGACTGAGATGAGAAAACATTTCTTCACAAGAGGGTGGTCAATCTGCGGAATCCGATACCACAGAAGGCTTTGGAGTTGGGTCACTGAATATGTTCAAGAAAGAGATGGATGCATTCTCTTTGACACTAAATGCATCAAGGTGTGTGGAAGGAAAACAGGTATATGGCGTTGAGATAGAGGATCAGTCAGAAAGGTACAGCAGGCCCAAAGAGCTGAATGGCCCTACTGCTGCCCCTGTTTCCTATGTTTCTATATGTGTCTCAGAAGAAGGTTTTATATCTCCATCTTGATACCACTGGGATCGGAAAGGCAGCATCCGGAGGAGAAAAGTCTTCCTTCTTTTCTGCCCCTGGGTTTGATTCAACAGCTCGCAATTACATAGCGCTTTTAATACATTGAAGCACCTTGGGCTGGTTTTACAGAACTGTAATTCAGAGAAAATTATAACCGGGCTAGATAAGCAGATTCGGAAAGGATGGCCAAAGCCTTCTTCTTAGAAGTAGGTTTTAAGGAGTATCTTAAAGGAGGAGAGAGGAGTTCAGGGGGGAACATTCCAGAGCTTGGGGTCCACTGGAAGGCACAGCCATTGGAAATTGAACTACAAAAGTCAGGAAGGTGCTCGAACACAAAGTTATCAGAGTGTGGGGAGGTTGTAGAGTTGGAGGTGGTTTCAGAGCTGAGGGTTGGGAGGGAATGAGGCCATGGGGAGACTTGAGTGGAGCAATGAGAATTTCAGGTTATCTTTTTATCAGCCTGTTCAGAGATGTTATACACACTTCTGGAGCAGGTGGGACTTGAACCCAGGTCTCCTGGCTCAGAGGTTGGGACATGTGACACGCTTCCCAGAATTCCCTGTTTTATTGGGGTGTGTGTATGAGCATTACACACTGGAATAAATGAAAAAGCACATTCAGCAATATCCTTGAGGCACAACAGGAATACCCAGTCAATCTGGGATCATTCCTGGTGTGAAATCCCACCAGTGGGTCCATTGAACATGCAGGCTCAGGGAGTGGAACCTCCGGACGTAGACAGTAAGAAAGCTGGGTTTCGGTACTCTGATTAATATCCGGTGTTGAACCAGAGGAATCCTTACGCAGGAACAGTTTGGAGTTTATCTGTCACTCTACATCCAGAGAATGATCAACGACTGGTGAACTGTCTAAAACTGCAACCAGACTGGAACAATTTCATCTTTATCCTTCATATTTGGAAGTGCTATCTCATACTCAAAAGAACAGCTTTTGGAGCAACATCAGATGTTTTCCATGATGAAACTCTTAAGAGTTTATTACAGACCTCTCAGGCATGTAGAATGTGAACCTAGACCCTACCCCCTAGCTCAGAGGTAGGGACATTACTACTGCACCACAAGCTCCCCTTTGGATCAAGTTCATCTATTGTTCCTAATTAACCTGTTCAGAGATGATATTACAGTCTCCGGAGCAGTGGGATCTGAACGCAGAATGCCTAGTTCAGGAGCAGGGACACTCCCTATGCATCATAAGCTCCTTTTTGGATCAATTTCATAACTGAAATGTTACCATAACACACCTCATCAACACAAATTCATTCTCTTAATTAACTCTTTCAGATTTGGAACCTCGTTTCTGTAGGAGAGTATTGTCTTTGTCTCAAAATGTTCAATTCTACCAAATGTGTCTGTTTATAAAACTACCAAATTAGCCCAACTCCCCTGATCTGTCTTCATAGTGTGATGATTGTTTTCTTTCAGTATTTATCCAATCTGTTTGAGAGTCACATTTGGTCAGCTTGCAATGCCCTTTCAGGCTGTGTGTTCCAGATCATTACAGCTAGATATGTAAAAAAAAATTTCCCAGTCCTTGTGTCAATCATGCTAATGTCCATCATTGTGACGATTGCAGAATGTTCAGCATCATTCTTGACTCCTCAGTCTGTGTCCAAATGCAATAACATCTGGACAAAATTCAGGTTTGGGCTGACAAGTGGCAAGTAACATTTGCGCCACACAAATGCCAGGCAATGACCAATCTCAATACGAGAAATTCTAACCATCGCTGCTTGACATTCACTGTCACTGAACTCCATCCCCGCCCCAGCTATCAAAATCCTAAGGGTTACCATTGACCAGAAACTGAACTGGGCCTGCCATATAAATGCTGTGGCTACAAGAGCAGGTCAGAAGCTGGGAATCCTGCAATGAGTAACTTACCTGCTGACTCCCCAAAGCCTGTCCATCATCTACAAGGCACAAGTCGGGAGTGTGATGGAATACTCTCCACTTGCCTGGATGGGGGCAGTCCCAACACCCCAAGAAGCTTGACACCATCCAGGACAAAGCAGCCCACTTGATTGGCACCACACCCTCAATCATCCACTCCCTTCACCACCGACGCTCAGTAGCAGCAGTGTGTACTATCTACAAGATCCACTGCAGCATTTCACCAAAGATCCTCTGACAGTTCCTTCCAAACCCATGACCACTTCTTTCTAGAAGGACAAGGGCAGCAGATACATGGAACACCACCCCCACAGGTTCCCCTCCGAGCCACTCACCATCCTGACTTGGAAATATATCGCCGTTCCTTCAGTGTCACTGGGTCAAAATCCTGGAATTCCCTCCCTCAGGGTATTGTGGGTCTACAATAGACTGCAGCTGTTCAAGAAGGCTGCTCACCACCACCTTCTCAAGGGGCAATTAGGGACGTGTGACAAATGCTGGTCGAGCCAGTGACACCCACATCCCATGAATGAATTTTAAAAAGCTATAATTTAATAAATACAACCTAAAAGGGGTATGTGTATAGGCAAGGTTATATCCACGGGAATCCAGATCCAAACTGGATAGATCTAAAACAGCAGTAGGTGATTCTGACATTCCTATTTGTAAATCCAATAACAATAAGGTATTTTGATTTAAATCATACACCTGGGCAGTGGATGCGTCTGGTTGGGATCAAAAATGTCACGTCATTCTGCCCCAGCAAGCAGTAGCAGGTGATGCTGCCCCCAGTAAGTTAGCCCATGCAACATAACCCACAGAAAGTCAGGTTGTTATCTGGTCAGATATCTTGAAGTTTATTTACGAGGTACAATATCATTTAGTGCCAGACTGGCTTCTGATTATTTCAAATCAAAAATCTGCTTAGCCAATGTATGACGCACTTTCAGGATGAATAGGACTTGAACCCTGGCCTAATGGTAGGTTACTGGGTCCTTTGTAAACTTCCGCTAGCTACTGTGGTGGGATCTGACCAACTCCCCCAGTTAACCTGGGCATTGGGATTCACAGCCCAGTGATGTCACCACTGTGCCACAATCTGCCCTGGTAGACTGGGTATTATGCTTACTGATGTTACCATACGTTGCATACACTGACACCATGTCACGGGGAGGATGACTGAAAGCAAGGTGAGTATCAGATTGACACACATCTTAACGTTATGTAAATGTCTTAAAGAGTGGGTCTGTAATCCATGCCATAATATAACTGAAGTATTTCTATCCATGTCAGTTCTGCCATGTCAAGTGGGATGGGGCATGTTAAGAGAGATTGTTGGAGAACTCACTCAGAGATAGTAGGAACTGCCGATGCTGGAGAATCTGAGATAACAAGGTGTGGAGTTGGATGAACACAGCAGGCCAGGCAGCATCAGAGGACCAGGAAAGCTGATGCTTCGGGTCTGGACCCTTCTTCAGAAAGGGTCCAGACCCAAAACGTCAGCTTTCCTGCTCCTCTGATGCTGCCTGGCCTGCTGTGTTCATCTAGCTCCACACCTTGTTATCTTATTGGAGAAGGGGGTGTGTGTTAAACTAAAGCCAACTGTATTCATCGTTAAACGCTGTCCAAAGGCCTTTCTGGTAGGTACACACATAGGTGTCATTTAATGACAGCAGGTTTGGCATGTTTGTCATAAACCTCAAGGCTAAATAGCTGGCTGAGCCTTGTGTGATTGGTCACCCCTGTGGGTGCACTGGCCACACTGGCATCTAAATCTTACTGGAATCTGAGGGCCATCATCTGAGGGCAGACTGAGTAAAACAGACATTGACTCTCTCGAGTTTGAACATTTTTTTTGTATTCGTTCACAGGATGAGGGCATTGCTGGCAAGACCAGCATGCATTACCCATCCCTAAGAGTCAACCACGTTGGTGTGGGGTCTGGAGTCACATGTAGGCCAGACCAGGTAAGGATGATAGTTTCCTTCCCTAAAGGACATTAGTGAACCAGATGGGTTTTCCCGACAATTGATAATGTCATCAATAGACTCTTAATTCCAGATTTTTATTGAATTCAAATTCCACCATCTGCTGGTGGAGTCAAAAAGCATTACCTGGGTCTCTGGCTTAACAGTCCAGTGATAGGCTACCACTTCCCCAGGGACATGATTCTTACAGGGTTAGAAGGGGGAGATGCAGGAAGGATGTTTCTCCTGACAATGGGTTCTAGAACCAGGCGACACAGTCTCAGAGTGAGGGGCAGACCATTTTGGACTGAGCTGAGGAGGAATTTCTTCCTATTTTCTGTATCCCTAACGGTGTGCAGCAAATAAAGCGCACAGAAGGATTGAGAGGCTCGAT